TCAACAATCGATCGAATAGAACAGAACAACTTAGAACGAGATCCTACAGCACACACAAGGAATAATACGAGGAAAATAACAATATCGTACATAAAAGGATTATCAGAAAAACTTAAAAGGATAGCAAATAAATTAAACATTTCAACAACATTCAAAACAACAAACACGTTGAGATCTATTCTGTCCAAAACCAAACCTAACAATGAACAAGAAAGGACAAAGAATTGCATCTATAACATACCTTGTGAATGCGATCAGTTTTATTTAGGTGAAACATCAAGGCCATTAAATGTTAGAATAAGTGAACATCAATATTATATTAAAAATACAAAATTTGATAGATCTCAAATATGTAAACACGCATGGGATAATAAACATAGGGTTTAATGGAATAATTCAAATGTAGTCCTAAAAGAAACGGATGGTAAAAAAAGAAAAATCAAAGCGGCTCTAATTATGCTAAATAAGACCAATTGTGTCGCAAATTCCTCGGCAGATTGTAGTAGGATCTGGTTACCCATATTGAAAGAGAAAGTTATTAATAAAAAAAATACCATTATTAGTAAGTCAGTAACATATAGAGGATACATCATTTATATTTTTTAAATAACAAACATAAAATCAGAATTTGGTCTTTATTGAAGGCAAACTAAATGCACGACCAAATACTTACCATGTCGGGATAGTATTATGAGGTTTTTTCCTCATAATTTACTATGGAATCACTAAGAGGAGAATTTTACTGTCATCATGGCATGTGTTTTTTTTAAAGACGAATTACATGCTATGATTTTTTTCTGACGGATATTCTCAAGTTAAAGTTGATTTTATGTAATCGAATGAACTATCTTATAAGTAAAGTCGTCCCAGGAGCGCAACTCAACAATATCATTTTAAAGTCGTCTACTTTAAAATGCATAATGTATGTCTGAATTGTCAATATAAATGAGTCGATTATTTTGAGAACGATTTCCTAAGTGGAAACTGAAACGTCAATAAACGTATTTTAACCTTTAATTGTGGCTTATTCCCAGTTAAATACTAATTAACTTTTAGGATTTCTTTTTTTTTCTCTTATTTTTTTTCCATCTTTATCCTTCAATGAGATTATTATAGGCTTTCCTAAGTTAGATCTTAAGCATTCCAGGCCTCGGTTCTTTTCTATTACTTTTTCTACCTTGTTTTCATTATAGATCCTTAAATCATCCTTTACTTTTCTTTATCTGTTTATTAAATTCTTTGAAACCATTGGTGTTTTGCTTTCCTTCGCTTAGAAATATGCGTCTCCTTTCCATCTTCCGTTTTGTTCCTTCACTTATTCGATCTTTTTTATTTTTAGTTTTCTTTGCAACAGTCAGTCCTGCTTTCAAGAGCTTTCGTTGTTCGTTCAAATAATAAAACACCTCGAATATATCAGAAAGTTTTATTATTAAAATATAACAAAATATAAACCAATTCAATAAAAACAATATGTAAACATGTCATATAGTTTGTATAAAGAATTGTATAACAATCACGTAGATTACATAAGTTACTGTTAAATAAAATAACTACAAGCTAATAGTCTAAAAAAATCAATACTCATAAAATCAAGCTACATCAGCTTCAAGCAGACTTCTGTAAGCAAATGGTGCATTAAAGCACCAAAGATCATCAAATATAGAGAAGTATTGTATAAGAGATATTACCTCTACATTTTTTGTGGGTACACAAAATTGTATAACCCTGTAAAGTAATAAAGACTACTTGACTACTACTGAATTGAAAAAAGAATATTAAAAAGTGATGTGAGTAGATTGCGGTGATTCGATTATTTAAATTAATATCTCCATTGTAAGAGATCTATAACTATCTCACATCACTAATATTGGCAAATCATCTTTATCTAAAATTAAATACATTAGTAGAGCCTATACCTCTTATTTTCTCTATAGAATCATCATTTAATAACGTTTAGGAACGAATGTCAGTTCCATGTAAGTTTGCGTGAAGAGAAGAGCTAATTGAGAGTCAAAACCAACATTTTCTACCCTTATAACGTGGGCTTCAGATGCCTTCGGTTCTTTTCGAACTACCGCTAATCCTGATATTCTCATAAGATGTAAGTCATTTTCCACTGAAGCTCCAACTGTTATAGCGAGTCGAATATGGCAGAAAACATCCACGTGGATGTATTTTTGAACTGCTACACCAGAGGGAGTCTGTATCTGAAAACAACAAAAAGTTCGATAATAATAATTTTATAAAAATTGAATAATACAGTTTTCCGATATTTAGAATGCAATTTGAATATGGGAGTCATAAAATCATCACTAGCACAAAATCTTTTAGCACAACACCCTTGCTGGAATGCTAGTTGTTCATTTTTGGCTTTCAAAAAATAAATTAAACTTAAAAATGTTTTAATATCTTCTTCTTAAGGTGCCCTCTCCATTACTGAAGGTTGGCTATAACTACAGCAAATTCCTCTCTATCTTGAGCTGTTCTTAGTATCGAATGTGTGTCCATGCCTGTCCAGTCTCTTTACATTTTTCAGCCAGGAGCATTTTCTTTTTCCTGGTCCTCTTCTTCCTTCCACTTTGCCTTCCATATCAGTCGCAGAAAGTTGTATTTTTCTTCTCTGTAAATATGTCCTAGATAACTCATTTTTCTGTGTTTTACAATATTTAGGAGTTCTCTCTCAGTCCCCATTCTTCTCAGCACTTTGTTGTTGATCACGTGCTCCACATTCATCACAGCTTCAATTTGAACCATGACAGTGTAAAACTGTTCAAATGTGAAAGAAGAAGAGCCTGTTAGTTTACGCATGATATTTAGCGCTTTTTACTGAAGGTTCCCAGATCCCAGTCCAATGAGGAGATCTAGGGGGAATAAACTTCCATAAGATTTGATTTTCAGACAGGTATTCCACAATGGTTTGAGAATTTGACTTATTTTGAAAGAATTTGTATAAGTCATAGAGTTGGTTTCTTGCACCAGAAAAACATGTGGCATTGTCACTGTAAATGACGGTTGTGTTACCACGTCGGGAAACGAACCTTTTGAGTGTTAATAGAAAGGAAGAAGTTGTTAGATCAGAAACAACCTCAATTTGCACAGCTTTGGTCACCATGCACACGAAAATGGCTATGTATGCCTTGATTTTTGGCGCTTTTCGGAGTGAAGAAGATTTTAACAGAAAGGGTCCACCATAATCTACACCTATTTTTTGAAAGGGTCTTGTTGTAATGGACAACCTATCTTCAGGTAAGTTACCCATTAGCTGTTGTGCAGGAGTGCACGCAAATCGGAAACATGTGATGCAGTTACGAATAATTTGTTTTGCTTCCTTTAGACCATTGAGAGGCCAGAATTTTAACCGAAGGTTTGAAGGTTTGCTTGAGCACCAGCATGTCCCAATCTGATAGGTTCATTTTTGAAGTTTGACGGTATATTTTTGCACGGAAACAGTATCGGATGTTTCTGCAAATAGTCTATGTCAGGACAGTTGCAAATAGTCTATGTTGTAAGTCTGCCTCCAACTCTAAGAAAATTAGAAAGATCTACAAATGGTTTTAGTGAAACTATGTTTTTATTTGAAATAAATTTGTTATTTTTAAGCTCCGGAATTTCTTTTGAGAATGCATCACCTTGTATTTGTTTAATGATGAAATCAGCATACTTTAACTCCGCCACAGAAAGGAGTTCAGAAATTTTTTGTTTTTTACAATTAGAAATAAAACGAAATACGTACGCTACTGTACGTTTTAAGCGTGAAATATTTGAAAAACGTGAGAAAATTCTCATCCAGAAGTTTTCTGCATTAGAATTTACCACGAGGCTTATTTTTCGTTCTTCGGGCAGATTTTCGAGAGAACTTCGTCATTTGCTAGATTGGAAACATTGAAATTTTTATCCCGTAAGCATTTAGGGCCTTGCCACCAGAAATCAAAAAGAGGTTAATCTTTGTAAATGGGTATATTAATTTATTTAAAAAACCCTTAAAGGGGCCACATCAATAAAACAAACGTTTTCGGACCACACAGTCCATCATCAGGTTATTAAAATCGAAAATGCTAGGTCACAATGCCTGAGCCACCAAAATATTAGGGTAAAAACCCTTTAAATTACATTTAGTTATGAAATATTGTACATTGTGTTATAAAATAACTGTGATGTTCAGTATTAAATTAAATATGACTGTAGGTAACACATGGTTCAATTGGGTTCCAGAGCCGGTGAGAGGAAACCTCTGCACTCGGAGAACAACGTGGAACTGAGTGCAGAGGTTTCCTCTCACCGGCTCTGGAACCCAATTGAACCATGTGTTACCTACAGTCATATTTAATTTAATACTGAACATCACAGTTATTTTATAACACAATGTACAATATTTTATAACTAAATGTAATTTAAAGGGTTTTTACCCTAATATTTTGGTGGCTCAGGCATTGTGACCTAGCATTTTCGATTTTAATAACCTGATGATGGACTGTGTGGTTCGAAAACGTTTGTTTTATTGATGTGGCCCTTTTAAGGGTTTTTTAAATAAATATACCCATTTACAAAGATTAACCTCTTTTTGTTATACGTGGTATACAGCCAGCTACAGGAATTTTTCCTTGTGGATTTTACCAGAAATCAGTATTGAGCATTTCAGAACCAGATATTCCTCGACAAAGAAGCTCTGCGACATTTTGCGCAGACTTTATGTGAAGCCATGTAAAGTTTTGAGTCAACTCTTGGACAAGTGCTACCCGGTGAGCCACGAATTTGGAAGAAACAAGTAATGCACAGGATATGGTCTCATCGGCATAGAAAGTTCTTAGGTATACGCATGCGCCATAAGCTGCCAATCTACTGTCTGAAAATCCATGAAGCTCAACCTTTAGAATTACTTTTTCAGACAAGTAGAAACGAGGAATTTTTAAATTTTTTAATTGTGAAAAAGTCCTGTAGAAACTTGTTCCAATCGTTTAGAATATTTATGTCCGAAATTTCTGTGTCCCGGTGAATTTTTTGCAGATATGAGTTTCTGCATAAGCATTTTGCCTTTAACAATGAACGGATTGATGAGTCCCAGAGGATCGAAACATTGTGCTAATGCAGACATGATTTTTCTTTTTGCTACTGGTGGGCAGAAATTATTTTCGGGGACAGAAATTGTTATTTGGTTTCCGCAAGGTCCCATTTTAGCCCTAGAACTTTGCTGGAAGTAGAATCGAAATTTAGGTATATGCATATGCATCCGAAATGTGGACCTCAAAGAAAGCGAATAAAAATAAACTACAATTCATCTAATTTATATAACGATGCACGTCATCGGCGCCATAGCCTGTGACGTTACATGATACCAACACAAAATATTTAGGGTGTAGGTGTGTTCTTTTTTAGAATCACTTTACCGAGTACACTGGCATTACAGCCACTATACTACATTCCACGTTAAGAAAATAACATTGCGGAGATAGGGCCATGTATTTCTTATGGACGATAGAAACGCGGCGTTGCCACGACACACACAAGCACAATTTAGGGTTGTATAATTTGTATTTTCGTTTCCACAGACATGAATTAAATTAATGTTTTTTAACGTAATTGACCAAAAGTGCCCATTCGAAACAAGAGATGAAAAGTAGAGAAAATGATTTTAATTAGATAAATAGTATTTACAAAAGATTATTTTATTTTATCTTATTTTAATTATAGTAACGACAGTTTATTTGTTTTTCGGTGAGCCATGAATCATAGAAATCAGTAGAAAATATTGCTTAGTTAAATCATGCATTTTGCCGTCTATTAAAGTTTTAAAAGCAAATAAACGGACTTGGAATGCGTATATCTAATTACTAATTGCAACTTAAAATAATACGATTTGCGTATGTCAGCGATTTTATGTCGTTCTCTGACTACATAATGATAATAAGGCTTTTATTTTGTAGTTATTCTGACTTTACAGTTAAATGTTAATTGAAAATGAAAATTCAAAAATTAAGCAAAGGGAATATCTTGGACATCCGTGCAAAAGAGAGTGTCTGAGAGTTTTGGCAACACTGATCTCCATAAGCGTAATGTTATTTTCTTAACTTGAAACAAAGAATAGACATATTTTATTATATACGCGTAGAAATAATATTTAAAAATTTCTATTAATGTTAACTTAAAGAAATACACAATAATATGTTTCATTTAATTTGTATAAATGCATTATAAAGCGTTTTTATTAAGAACATATTTGTTCGGAACACACTGTAACTGTAATCGAACAAAGCTAAAATTTTGGCATAAATTGGTAACACTTATTTGACAGTTGCGGTGTTGACACTTTTTGTACTTCATTATTTTGAATTTTAAAGTGAATATCTCTTGTTTTATATTTTTAACTATTTAATAAAATCTGTTCTTTTTAGAACAAAATTAGTGTTTTATTTCAAAAATGTCACGTAAGAATTTAAATAGTCGTTGTAAAGAGATGGTAATACTTTTGCAATAATTATGTAATCTATTTGATTTAAAATGGAGTCAGGATTTTTTTATACTTTGGCAACTATGTCAACTTCGATCTCTGACGTAGATAATGACGTAAGTCGTTATCTAAATTAGATGAAGTATAGACGCTTTTGAAATGTGGGTATACCACCGCATGTTAAGAATATCCTGGATTGATCATGGCACTAACGTATCGATATTAGAATAACTTGTAAATGATAGATTGCTTAAACAAATACAATAGAGACATTTGCAGTATTTTGGACACATTGCTAGAAGAACAGATGCAGTGAAAAACTGATAGTCGAGGGTAGAGTTGAAGGAAAGAGACCTAGGGGAAGATCTCCAAGTCGTTGGGTAGATAAAAAAATATTGATTAACCAAGGGTTACACGAAGCCAAACAACTAGCCCAGGACAGGGCAGGATGGAGGGAAATCGTGAAAGAACTGTAAAGGCCTGATGGTACGCGAAGGTGTCGCTAAAACTGCGACACCCAATGGCGCCAAGTATTTATTGTCCAATATGTCCAATTCTTTAGTTACAAATATGTGATCACTGCTATTTGATCCCTTGCTGACTCAAATACTACTGCTTAACAGCCACTATAGTTCATCTTTTGAACTCTATTTTGAATAATTGACAATCAACAGTTGATTTTATATAAGTGGTAAATATTTTTCCGAATTTGCACCATCTATTTTAGGCCACGTAGTTATCGAACGATCTTTCTTTAAGTGATGACAATGAAATATCAAACTGTTTACAGTAAAACAACATTAAATCGAATTTTCTTCTTCTTCTAGTTCCATGACCGTTATCGATCGTTGGATATCATGTTGGCTACCATATTCGCTATCGTGACTTTATTGACAGCAGCTCTAAATAACGATGTAGTTGATTTTCCATACCATTGCCTTAGATTTTTCAGCCATGATGTTCTTCTTCTACCAGGACCACGATTACCTTGGATCTTTCCCTGAATGATCAGATGTAAAAGATCATATTTTTCAGAAGTATTCCAGCTTGCGTTTCTTTATTATATTGACCGAATTTTCTAAAAAATATTATACTGCAAAATAATTACCCTTTCCATATGTTGCTCAAATTGAGGAAGATCATCTCTAAACACTTGAGCTTCGCCTAGTACAATATCACCAGCTTTGACAATAAATTCCATACCCTTGTGTACTGCTCTTGGTTCTAAACCTAGACCGTCGGGATGGTTATCAGACCATAGATAGTTATCTGGCTCGACTAGAGAATCTGGTTGGAAAGTGAGTCTCTTGGCATATCCCATACCAATACTAAGCAGTTTTAAGGCTCTTCCTCCAAACAGATGATCTTTCCTGTCGTTTGGTCTGACTTTGTAGCAGAAGCCAGGGATGATTCTTGGATCAACGTAAGTACCTAAAATAAAATGGAACATGTATAACATCATTGTTAACATAAGTAGTGATTGATTTTGATTGGTTTTCATCAATACCATACATTCACAATATCATATCAAATTAGGACAGCAAAAAAAGTCGCCTTCACCAATAGTTTATTATTGACTGAAACAAAATATAAATAACAAAAGTGAACCATATCTTTCTTGATCACAGTTAGCTACCAAAATTTATTAAAAAGTGTTTACCATGCCCCCGGAAACTTATATGCACGGTACATTCCCCCATCACTTTGACCCCAGGCAATTAATAAAGAGAAATCTCTCTCACGAAGACTTTAACCAATCATTTATTTTAACACAGTCTCGGGGTGTCAATAAAATAATCAAACGAATCTTAATGCCGCAATGTCAAATGTAATTCAATGTAATGTGAAGACAGATCTTCCGTTTGTTTACAAGTTTTCAATTTTATTTTATTATCTTTAACTTTCGTTTGCATTTATTGTTAGTAATTTAAATTTAAGTTGGTTACTTAGTTTTTAAAGTTTAGTTTGAGTTACCTATTGTAGTAAAGAATTTTTGTGTTATGCTAGTAAAAAAACTAAACATGGTGAATTATTGTATTGTTCTATTGTGTACAAATCATGGAAAAATTACAAAAAGGATGATGATAGTAAGTTGTCAGAAAGCAAACAATAATAATATTTAACATTTGTTTCTGAAAATATGTGTAATAAATATTATGTAATTAGTTTATAACTGTTTTATCTTAACAAATAAATATACGTAGGTATATCTAGAATAAAGTGTGCATTTTTTTATATATCCTTTTATTTTTTAATAATATATATGTGTATATATGTGTATGTGTATATATAATATATTATATGTGAGAATATTTCATCGGAAAATAGTAAGATATTTTCCAGTACGAACTCTAAAAAATGGGAAGTCATGCGGACCACAAGGTATACCAAATGAATTATTAAAACATAGCCCACAAGTATTACGGGAATTACTGGCGTATGTCTTCACCTTATTCTATAATGGACACGACTTACCACCGGAGTGGACAAAAACACATATTAACAACATATACAAAAAAGGAGATAGAAAGAATTATTCAAACTATAGGGGGCTAAGTGTCATAAATTTACTCTCAAGACTGCATGGAAAAATAATAAAAAATAAAATTGAAAAAGAGATGACAAATGTAGAAGAACAGAGATGGCTTTCGTGCAGGCAGATCCTGCATGGACAGTATATGCTCTCTAAAGCAAGTTATCGAGAAAAGATTAGCCCACAACCTCTCAATTCATATAGTCTTTATAGATCTGACAAAGGCATACGATAGTGTACCACTTTCAATGCTTTGGGTAGCAATGGAAAAACAAGGAATAAGCAAAAAAAAACAAGCAGTACAACAGCTCTACAAAAATATGACGGCAAACATTAAAATTGGAAATAGATTAACTAGAGAAATTCCTATTAGTAAGGGCCTAAAGCAAGGCTGCTACATAGCACCTACACTCTTGAAAATATATCTAAATGAGGCACTCTCACTGTGGAGAAGAAAGTGCTGCAATATGGGCATCCCAATCGGAGATGATAGATTGTACAGGATACATTTCGCTGACGACTAAGCCATTCTAGCTGAAGACGAGAGTGATATAAGCTATATGCTTAGAAAACTGGAAGATGAGTACAACAAATGGTGCCTCACAATTAATATACAAAAAACTGAGTACTTAGTTATAGGAGAAAAACCAGAAAGCCTACAAATCGAAATGGGAACTATAAAACCAACAGACAATTTTAAGTACTTGGTAAGAAGTCTTTTAAGTAGCGAAGAAATACATTCCACGATTGGCCAAGCAAGATCAGCCACCAGACAGCTACACGGACTATTATGGAATAAAAAAATAACAAAACAAAATAAAAGAAGAATTTATAAAACAATAATAGAAAGTATTGGACTGTACGGCACCGAACTCTGGGAAATTAACCAAAGAAGCAAATAAAAAATTAAGGCCATGGAAATGAACTACTGGAGACGATGTTGCCAGCTCACTAGACTTGATAGGGTGAGAAACGAAGATATTCGGAGAGAAATGGAAATCGATCTACACCTAATAGACACAATCGAAGCCAAAAGACTTAACTGGTATGGACACCTTCAGAGAATGCCGGAAAATAGATGGCCAAAAAAATAGAAGAATGGACTCCGCCAACTAGAAGAAAACGATGTAGACCAAGACGATCCTGGAGAGACGATGTCGACGATGCAATAACCGCCAGAGATCTAACAACTGAAGATTGCTTCGACAGAAAACGCTGGAAATTAGTATGCGAGAAGCGGCGCCAGCTGTAGAAGACTCGCTTGTTATATATTATATATATTTTCCAGTAAATTTTAATTAGTAACGAAATGGCCCACAAGAATCGCTAAAGGGTATGTAAGGGATGTCCATTTGAATTTCCCGTCAAAAGATGATTAGTATTGACCCCAGCAGCAAGGGGTCCTAATGAAGGAAATTTATACATTGAGTTGCCTATCTATTTCTAATATTATATTATTTATCTATGGTGTTTACTGTTAATCGAACGTTACACTGATCACATATGGGTGGATTATATATCTGTCCTCTTACTTTATTGAAGTATAAATATTATATAAAATAAACTATAACTTACCTACAACGGGAATTTCAAAAGATTCCAATCCAGTCATAGTATATTTTGTAGGAACATCGTTAATATCTTGTCCTCTAACAGTAAATCTTCTATGAATCTTCTGCATGCCAGGTAACAGGTAACACCTGTGCCTATTGATACTAACTTTGGTGATTTTAACGATCTCGGCGGAAGATTTGCCTTTTATTTTACGTGACAACACAGTGCCAGTAAGATTCATAGGCTTAGCCACACCAGTCTCATAATATTCAACTTTACCTGTAAATGTGACCGTGGCTTTCTTTTCAATTACACCTTTTGATAAAGAGCTAAAAATTTCAATTTGAGGGGCCTGAAAGAGTGAGTATAATAAGTAAAGGTAAAACTAACTATAAAAAATGTTTTTTTATAAAGACTTACGAAGCACCGTTTGGCGTGCAATGGGAGGTCGTTTATCACGGAACCGCTCTTCTCCTTCTAGTCCATGGTTCTGATAAAAATCTTTCCGGATTTATGCATAACAGGATATCGAAAAAAATAATCGTAATAAGTATTATAAAGGATAAGGGGCTCACCTCGATAGTAAGTACTTCTACGATTCCTTCAGCTTCGCCGTTGGGGTTGAAGAACGTGAATTTATCTCCTTCAGACAGCAACTCCAGCTCAAAAGCGTAACCCTCGGGTCTGTTGTCACTCCAGAAATAGTTTTCATTATTGTTCAATCGATTCTGATCAGCTTCAAAAGTAAAGCGTCTAGCATATCCTCTACCAATTGACTGCAAAGTCAAAGCCTTGTTATCAAACAGGCATTTATTAATGGTAGAAGGACGGCCAACCTCTGGAAGAGGTCTGATGCGGTATTTAAAACCGGGGACCACTCTTGGGTCAATGTAAACCCCAACAACCGGCAGTTGATGGGGTTCGACAGCACAAATAGTGTACTGTCCTGGAATATCTCCCAGAAAGGCGGCATCCAACTTCAATGAAGGTTTTACGGGAGTTTCGTCGACTTCGGGCAGTTGCGATGGCTTGGGTGGTAAACAACTTTCCTGTAAATCAAATTAAATACTTTTATATAAACTTCAAGACAAAATATTGCATTTTTGTTTTGATTCTAATTATAGTTAAGTACATATAAAATACTGACTACAGTAGAACCTAAATTAACCACCAATATTAAAGTTTATTTCATTAAGCGACGCAGGGCATATAAACAACGATAAATGTTAAAGCTGTTCCAAATGAGTCTACTCGTTCCGATAAGTAACTATGACACTTTATTATTTTTTTTTCTTTTCTCAATTGTTAGTGTTTATTGCATAATAAATAAATTATTGTTATCACTGAATACATAGTATGTGAAAAAATAATCCGATTTATAAAATTAATGAATATTTTATGCATAAATGCAAGTAACAGTTCTTCAAAAATATTTAAAAACTAACCGAAATGTCCATCTTTATTTCGTCTGCCGACGTTGTCGGCAGCTCATACAGGTTTGGACACGATTTAATGTTTACATCTCCCTGCATCGCTTAATGAATTTTACTTTAGAATCATATTAATAATGATATATAGTGATAATAATCACTTTGAATAGTTTATTGAGGTTTCTTTATTCTTATTTTATCTATCTCTATCTATACAGCCCTTGCTATCCAATTTTGGACAAAGGCCTCCTCTTCCTTCTTCCACGTCTCTCTATTGTAGGCAGTTTGTATCCATTTCGGGCCTGCGTGTTTCTTCAATCGATCTGACCATCTCATTTGTGGCCTTCCTCTTTTTCGTTTGTAACTGTATGGTCTCTAGTGTATAATCATCTTATTCCATCTGTCGTCTTTCTGTCTTATGGTATGTCCAGCTAACTTCCACTTAAGTTTTGCTACGTGCGTTGATACATCGGTCTCTTTTGTTTTGTTGCGAATCCAAGTATTTCTTTTCTTGTCTGATAACCTGGTGTTCAGCATTTGCTTTCCATGGCTCTTTGGGCCTTTGCTATTTTTTCCATATTTTCCTTTGTCAACGTCCAAGTTTGAGAACCGTAGGTGAGAACAGGAAGTATACATTGGTTGAAGACTCTTGTTTTTAAAAGTTGGGAGTATTTTCTATTTTTTAGTATATAGGAAAGTTTTCCGAAGGATACCCAAGCCAACCGTATCATTCTCATTATTTCTTCGGTCTGATTTTCTTTGTTTAATTTAAGTAGTTGTCCCAAATATACATATTCTTTTACTTGTTCTATAGATGTTTGTACCATTTTTAATTATTCTGGTTGGTTGATCATAATTTTTGGTTTTATTATAATTCATTTGTAGACCTATTTTTGTTGATTCGCTATTTAATTCATTCATCATACTTACTTTGTAATTCTTCCCTTTTATCTGTTATTAATACAATATCGTCTGCATATCTCAAGTGATTCAAGTAATGGCCATTTATGTTAGTACTCCGTTTTCCCATTATAATTTCTTTATAACGTCTTCTAAAGCTTGATTGAATAGTTTGGGTGATATAGTGTCACCCTGTGTGACTCCTCACCTTATTAGGCTCCGTTTGTTCAACTATTTTAATGGATGTTATTGCTTGATCATATATATTAAAAATTAAGTCCGTATATTTATAGTATATTTTCCCATTTTGTAGAGTTCTTTACTGCCCAACGTTCCACCTTATCGAATGCTTTTTCAAAGTCTACAAATGCCATATACATTGGAATTTGATATTCGTTGGCCTTTTCAATTATTATTTTTATCGTAAGTAGATGGTCGCTTGTACTGAATCCTTTTCTAAAACCGGCTTGCTCTCTTGACTGGTAATTATCTTACTTAGTTGTTAATCTGTTTGTTAGTAGTTTAGTTAACAGTTTGTACACTACATCTTTTTAACATAGCTCTAGACTATGTTCTCTCCAAACTAGACTCTGACACAAGAGGGATACAATGGACGTTAACCACACGCCTAAGCGATCTAGAATACGCCGACGATATCTGCCTGTTAGGACAAAGGTTCCAAGATGTGGCTGACCAATTGGAAACACTTTCCACTGAAGCCAATAAAATAGGTTTGAAAATCAATATTGGTAAAACCAAATCCATGCGAATAAATGCAAGAAACAACACGCTATTCACCATTAATAACATGCAGATTGAAAATGTGGAAAACTTTACGTATCTTGGAAGTGTCATAACAGAAAGCGGAGGTACAGAAGACGATATTCGTATGAGGATACGAAAAGCGCAACAAGCTTTCAGCATGCTCAACCCTGTTTGGAGGTCGGGAGAATACACTACGAGGACAAAGATCCGCATATTCCAGTCAAATGTCATGTCTGTACTACTTTACGGATGTGAAACCTGGAAAGCGACAAAAACCCTTACAGACAAACTGCAGGTCTTTGTTAATAAATGTCTACGAAGAATTGTTCGTATTTTCTGGCCTAACATCATCAGAAACGAAGACTTACTACACCTGACCAAACAAAAGAGGGTAGTAAATGAAATAAAGTCCAGAAAGTGGGGTTGGATCGGTCACACACTCCGAAAAAATAACTCCAGTATTGCAAAGACTGCCCTAGAGTGGAATCCCCAAGGAAAACGAAAAAAAGGTCGCCCAGTACAAACTTGGAGAAGATCCATCATGGACGAGATAAGAAAACAAGGAAAGTCTTGGAATGAGGTGAAGGCCTTAGCGCAAAATAGAACCCGATGGCGCGTTTTCACTGAAGCTCTATGCTCCACTTAGGAGTTCAAGAACCTTATATATATATATATATATATATATATATATATATATATATATATATATATATATTATATATATATATATATATATATATAAGGGCCTATAGTTTTGCAGATCTTTTCTGTCGCCTTTCTTAAATAGTAATAGTGTTATTGCATCGTTCCATGTGGTGGGTATTTGTTTTGTGTTTAATATTTTATTCATTAGTACATAAAGGACTTCCACTGTACTTTCCCCCATTTTTTAGCATTTCCACAGTTATTCCATCTTTCCCAGGAGATTTGTTATTTTTCATTTCTTTGAGTGCCTTTTTTATTTCATTTTTACTGATTTTTGGTTGTAGGTCAGAGTTAACGTTCTTTATTTTCAGTTGTAACTGATTAAGAGATTTTTTGGGTTGGTTTTTGTTCTGTTTTATAGAGATTTGTATAATATTCGTGCGTTATGTGTAAAATTTCTTTTATACTGTTGGTCTCCACTCTTTCTTTGTTCTTTATGCTATTAATTTGTATATTTCCCAGGTTCTGCTTTAAACACTTCACGTTTCTATTTTTTCTAATAGTTTTGTTCATTTCTTTGTATTCCATTTTATTTCTGTCCTCTTGTTCTAGTAATGTTTCTTGTGTTCATAAGAATCTTTGTTTACTGGGATATGAAACTTTCTGTTTTTGTTGTTGTCTGTGCTATTTCTTTACCCACTTTCATTAGAGTTTCAGTAAATATCATGTTTATTTTCTAGATATGTTTGTGTTCTAGATCTTCCTTGGTCGGTAATATCTCCTTTATTCTCTCTTCGTTCATCTGTTTTTCTTGTTTTAGTTTTTCCATGTCTAATTTCTAATTATTTTCCATTTTCCTTCTTGTTTCAAATCTACTATCAATGCTAAGCTTGGCTCGGACTAGTCTACGGTTGCTACCAGTTGAGAAGCAATTTAGGGCTGTTACGTTTTTAACCATGGATTCTTGCGTTGAAAGAATATATCAATTTCGTTTTTAGTTTCACCATTGAGACTAACCCATGTCCATGTTCTTTGGGTAAATTCATTGCATATAGTTGCTTCTCCTCCAAGTAATTCATCAATGTGTGTCCTCTATAATTTCTTTTGCCGTATCCATGGTGCCCTACTTTGTCTTCTTCCTTATATAATTGTTCTCTTATTTTGGCATTGAAGTCCCCGATTATTAGCGTTAATTTTGATTTCTTTTATTCTATAGCTGTTGTTAGAGAGCTTGTTGTCTTCGTAAAAATGTTCAATATTACTATTACTAATATGTAATTGTTGAAAGTGACATTTTTCACTAAGAAACTGAAAAATAACTATCTGCATTTGCTTCCTATATGTATAATTTTTTCTGTTAAGTGTTTCAGACAGTAAAGATTTATTGAAGTTGTTTCTGGTTGCTGTTCGACTTAAAACAATGCATTTTTCAATCCAAGTTCCATCAACTACTTATGTTGTTGTCACTATGGCCATTAACTTTAATGCCATGTGCCTAAATCGGTCTATACTTCACGTTGTTTTGTGATGTCACAACCTTTTAATGTTTCTATCGAAAACACATTTTTCATCTTCTTATCTCGCTGGAAAAACTCGATGAGAGCATTTCGAATGTTCTCGGGCCAGAAGTTAAACCATTTACTTAATGAAAAATCTTTAATATCATTATACTGTTCAAAATAGATAACTTTTGACCAAAATTTTCGAACTGTAAAAAGTTTGGGTGCAATATTTTTTCATACTGTTAATTACGCACACTTTCCGATAACCTCAGTGGGATTTTTCGCAATGAATAATACTATATATATATATATATATATATATATTATATATATATATATATATATATATATATATATATATATATATTATATATATATATATATATATATATATATATATATATATATATATATAGTAAATGCAGTTATCGATGTTCTACTATAATATAAACTACTTTACCGAACTATAATTTCAACTTAAGTCTAGTTCGCAAAACATGTTAAAACTGTTACTATTTACTTAGATTAATCTATCAAATACAAAAAAGCACCAAGTAAACTGTTATGAAAAAATTATTAAAATGTTATTCTATTAGCTGACATCAAAATAAATCGTTTGAACTCAAATTGCTTAGGCAAAATGTTGCTAGTTTTCGTTCTACAGGGTGATCCATTAATATTTTTTATATTATTTTTAGGGATATATTGAACACTATTCAACCGATTTAAGTCAAATTTGGTATCTTGCTATTATTTAGTATCATCGAGTTAGAATCTATGGAGAAGCTATGAGCATATTAACGGATGTATTAAAAACGGCTTAGGTAGGAGTGGCTAACGATAATACCAATATGGCGGTGACATCAGGGCCAGACTCAATAATATTGAAACTACTATACAAATATGACTAGTTATTCAGAAGATTTAATCATAATCTAAAAAAGTGTAATACATTTAATAAACTTTTTTCTACAAATTTCTACAAATTTTCTTTTGTTGTTTTGTAATAATAAAGAATTTTGGAAGATTCTACTTTTATTTTGAGCAGATTACTATACTTCTTGAAAACCCTACTATTGTACAAATGTGTTGCTTTTATTTATCAAATATCTTAACACTCAAAGCTATTTGCACATTAATAACAATAAAAATTGTGTGGGTATCAAATATTTATCACTGATAATTATCTGCCAAGGATATATTTCAGAAATAGTTTTATTTGTTCCTTTAAATCTGATTATATAATAATTTACGGAACGCAGATTACTGATTAGAATATTTAGTATGTAAACAAGGTCAAAATTTATGGCTTTAAAAAAGTGTAGAAAATAAAAAGTTAGAGATTATTAACAACAAAAAGTATTATAAAATTGAAGGTACAGAGATAACTGAAACTAAAGGAAACCAAATAATAATTCCTGAGTCATTACGTCAAGTCATATTGGAAATAATTCATGATGGTGATTTTAGGATATGAAAAATGTATTCAGCAAGCACATACAGTGGTTTTTTGGCCAGGAATGACAGTGGATATAAAGAATAAAGTTGAACAGTGTTCAGCATGTATTAAATATCATAGATCAAATAGTCCAGAACCATTATTAGCACATAAAATACCGACTTTACCTTGATTTTTTTATTATAGTAAAGTGACATATATTTTATTAGTAGATTACTATTCTAAATATTTTGAAATAATGCCTTTAAATAATACGTCAGCAAAGACTCTATATTTGCAAGACATGGAATACCATCAGACTGTCTGGTAATGATCCTCTATTCTCATTAAAAGAATTTCAGTCATTTTTAGTAGATTGGGATATTACTTATCAAAGTTCTAGTCCTTATTATCCAAAAAGTAATATTTTGGTAGAAAGAACAGTTCAGATTGTCAAGAATATTTTTAATAAGCGTATAGTGTCAGGCTCTGATCCTTATCAGGGAATGTTGCAATACAGAAATACAACATTAGAATGTGGTTATTATTCAGCTAAATTATTAATGTCACGTAATTTAAGAATGAAATTATCTGTTAGTGAAAATGTAGCAAGAAACCTACCAAGCCTGTTTGTTGGGGAAAATGTATTTTATAAAAAATTTCCATCACCACCGTGGTTACCAGCTACTGTGATAGAAATAGGTCCTTTTCCAAGATCGCATGTCGTCAGAACAACTGAAGATGTACATTATCATAGGAACAGACAACACATATACTGAAGTGATAGTTAAGCATGAAAATAGTACAGCAGCTAGTTCCACTTTGCATGAGGCTCCAAATATGAACAACAATCAGCAATTTCATTTCAAAGTAATAACAATTCAAGTGTTAGCTTAAATAGGTAACACAGATAAAATGTAAATAATCATTTTGCACTAGTAGTCAAATAGTAAATAGGCCAAAAAGGTTTTCATTTTCAGAAGATTAATGTGGCAATGTAATATTGCAAGTATATTTAATGTGTTTGTATGGTTTGTTTAAAAAAAGGGGCATGTTATGTTGTGTTCAGTTGTAAATCTACCTTAATATTTGTAAACCCATCTTAACATTACTGACATGTCAAATAGAAGAAGAAGCCCGGAAGTGAAAGATAAGGAAAGACATTGATGGTCGACAGACTAGTCTTATGGCTCTTTAGAGATAATTATGTATTAGTATTAGTTTGTCTTATAATAAATAAAATATACAGAAATAAGTCGTCCATTATAAAAAAAGCCCACAGAGTAGAACAAACAAGAGATTGCTACAATACTACTATAAAATATTTAAAAAATCAGAAGCAGTGGAAGTATAATTAGTAATAGCTAAGCGATTTAGTAATCAAAGTAAATAAACTATAGAGATTACATGTAATAAAAACGAATTTGATGATTAGATCTATAACACCATATCTCAAAATACAGATGAGTATGATAAAATAAATCGGGATATATAAAAAATACGTTTGTTATGATGAAAGACGAAATGCAGGACTAATACATGTGAATTTTTCCTGCTTTACTTACTTAAATTTAATATAATCACACAACGAAAAACCAGCAATTTGATATTATGAAGAAAACAGGTCAAATGATAAAAATGCTAATGAAGGATCACTACATGGGAAATTTTTATTACCATTTTCCTATACGATGGATTCATATTCATGTTCAAATGCCAGCACGTCATTTTAAGTTATCAAATAAGTCGATGCGTTTATATTGAAATAAGCTTGTAAATGAAAATACATTCTGGTTAGTTTTAACTGAACCAAAATGTTTATTGCACAGTAAAATGTTAGTTTTGGCGCTATTCCACGTCTAAAAATATTTTATATACCTAGATAATACCAGGAAGAATTTATTTCCTACTTACATAATACAGTAAGTCTTGGCACTTTCATGCTAATTATGATTCTAATTTTAATACAAAGATTATACAGAAAGTGTACTTTTGAAATTAATAATCCAAGGTATGGTAGAAAAATACTTCTTTACTTCCTGCCGCTACAACCATTTGTTCTTCAATTGGGCCATGTCGGTTACTTTTCTACTCCACTGCCTAATCTTCATAATTTCAAGGTCCTCCTCTAAATCATCCAACTATCAAATAGGTAACAAAGTAATAAATAAGACTTACTCACAATCAGTTTAATTTAACTACCTAGATGACCGGTTTCGCTTTCTACAATTTGCAAAGCATCTTCAGGTCAGTCGGTACAAAGTTAATTAAATGCTGAAATAACAAAAACCATATTACGGTGCTGTCTTAAAAAGATAAACATCAGATCTTTATAAGACAGCACCCTAATACTGCCGTGTTAACTCAAAAGGGCGTATCTGCTTTAAACTAGTTTGCGAGAAAAATCAGTTTTAGTGGTTTTGATTAGGCAATCGTGATTTTTTAAAAAGTTGTGACTTGTACCATATAGAAGTTAACAAATAGGTCTATACTATCATGTGACAAATTTTGGTAGAGTATTAACTTGGGAAAACAACACTTTTGACAGATTTTGACAGATACGCCTTTTTCACTTAACATGAGGTATATAATTAAGAACGTAACTACATGATTTTTTGAAAATATTTATTGCATTAAACAAATGAACGTTACAATATTAATGTATTAATTTCGTAAGTTATTCTTAATAATTAGGAAAAGTTAAAAAAGTAAACAACAATAATACAGACTAACTAAAATATCATACTCAGTCAAACAAATATTAATTATTAATACTTAATTTTCTACTCCGAACTAGTTATTATATTATATTAATCATCAATTGTGTCCACATTTTCGCTGACAAAAATATTTTTCCAAAATGCAATGCGATTTGGGGGCATTATTTGACCAATTTTAGTGATTATATTCTGTTTTCTTTCCATGGTAATACCTCGTGGTTGAGAGATAGAGAGTGGTTTTGCAATGCCATTTTTTTGGATATTAGCCTTTAAAAAATTGGCACTTATGATTTCTCCTTCAAAACTAGTTTTATAACCAAATGTATGGAAACCTCTGATGAACTGAACTTCCACCATTTGTTGAAGGTACGGACGAGGGACCAACCTTGTTATTTTATATTGAGATGATTCGTCTTTCCAGTTGTAAAAATCATTAAAAGCCATGTCGATAACTTCGACATTACGTGTTGACGTTTTAACCGCATCTACAAAATCAACGAAGTCATAAACTTTACCTTTTCGATTTAATGATTGCTCGACTCTATGGTGAAATGAGTCAGCTGCCATAAATGTATGACCTGACTCAAAATATCTTAGGGTTATTTTCCTAATGTTCAATTCTAATGAGCTTACAGCATACACAAAAAATGTGTACAAGCACCAATTTTTGTTCTGACCGGAACAATTATCCAGCCAAATAACAACTTCTTCGGAATCCCTAATTTTGTTTAAAAATGCATAAAATGTGCTAACAATATCAGCCTTTTTTCTTCCAGAAATAGCTTCATGCCATAGAACAGCAACTGTAGAAGTTTTAGAAGTACCAACTGGAACAAAGCTCTCATTAAAGGCTATCAGTCTAGGAGTAAATATAATTTCTTTGAAAGTATCGCATCTTGGGAGCATAATCACCTACAAAAGATTGTGTAAGGTCAAATATAACAGATATTATTCAAAATAAAATTCATACCTTCTGCAGATCAGCTGTATAAACTCTAGAATCGCCCGACGATCTGGAATCAGCGTAGTACATCTCTCGGGCCTTTATAAATTTTTCTCGATGATTTTTATATGTTTCGCATTCAGGACAAACTAGACCGTCATCTAACACGTGTGAGCTTTCTTTTTTATGAATCTCGTATTTTTCACAAGTAAAACACTCTTCGTTTCCAAGCTTTGCAAATGAAATATTAAGCTCACTAACGATTTGACGATATAAATAATACGAACATTGAATATTGTACTTTGCTTTAAATGATTCATACATTAGTTTTATAGTTATGTCGCTAGGCAAGTATAAACGGTTCGGAGCATGTGCTCGTCTATAATGCGATGTCGTAGGATTAAAGGACTGTATATGACTAATGATTAAATCTCTGTCAAATTTTTTTAAGCTGCCTCCTCGTTTATCTGTGTTAGGTTTAAGCGATAATTGGGAACTCTTTAAAGCTGTTCTAACTGGCTTATCATTTTTTTCATGATGTCCTAAAGTTGTCAGATAAAATACTTTACAAATATTTTGAGGTATTCCTTCTTCATCTTTTAACTGGTAGATAAATGTAAAAGAGCGCCGAGAACTATCTGAATTTCTAGTTGCGCATCTTTTTTTGGGAATCTTTAAAATGGAACTTGAATAAAAAGCTTTCTGTTCCTCGGAGGAAAGATTCCAAAACTGCCTATTTATATCTTGCCGTCGAAGAGTTGAAACTTTATTACTGCAATTTTTCTTGCAAGTAGCCAAACAGCTTCCATATATTTTGTGTTTATTGACTAACTTTTGCATTTTTATTGAACGTCGTTCACTTAAACTTTCTTCTATTTTTTTCCGTTTTCTTAACTGTCCCTTTTTAGTGTATTTTTTGCTCTCTGATTTGTCTATTACGCTTTGTATAATACTGTGAATTAAATTATTAAAATAGTTATAATTATTGGTAGTACGATGTTCTTCCGTATCTGTCAATAAGTTGTTTAAATTTAATTCCGAAATAGCTGATGAGCTCGTTGTTGAAGCAGGTTGTAATAGGATATTGCTAATAATATGTATATTTTGGTCGCTAACGTTATTATCTGTGTCCCAAAATTCTTCACTTGAGGGAGATGTTGAAGGAAGGTAGTCTCTATCTCTGTCATCAGACACGTCAGATTCAACATCTGACTGAGCTATATTCGACAGCTCGTTATTTGTTTCTGCGGAATTTAAAGCCAGGTCCACCAACATTTTACCTCGTCCTCTAAATTCTGCTGAAACAAATTTTTTCATCAAGTAATTTGACAAAGCAATAATTATTTTTATAGTTTTTAATAGAACATACATAATATAAATACCTATTTGGTGTGAAAACCAAAGTGACATAACCTTATTTTCGAGATAATCAATTTACAATAACTTCAGAACCAAAAATATATACTTTGACACATAGGTACAAGGTAACAATTTGTATTTGTTTAACTTTTTATATAAATTAGTAGAAAATATACTTACTAGTTGTTTCTGCAAAATTATTATCCATATTTATTATGAACAACAAACTAAACACATTCTATGAAAACACGAAAAAGTAAGGTTAGAAATAAAGTAAATTGACAGTTTACTACTTTTCGTACCAACATAATAATATCTTGAAATGTTAAGTGAATAGGCCGTATCTGCCGAAAACTTTTAAAGCTAACATTTTAGTAGAAAATTCAGATACGGCTATTAATTTAAGCAGTATATATCCGGTTTTATTGCAGATATGGCTACGAAACTCAGGTAGATTTGTAGAAAAGATTACTAACTAACGCGTGGGACATCAAACTCGTTTTTAATAAAAATTGCAGTTACGCCCTTCTGAGTTAACACGGCAGAATATGGGTTTTTATTATTTATCATCATCATCATCATCAGTAGCTCGATAACCCTTTCTGGGTCCTGGCTTGTTCTAGAATTTTCCGCCATTCTGTTCTGTTCTTTGCTTTGTTTTTCCAGTTATTAATCTTAAGTGTTTTCAGATCTTGTTCCACTTGATGCATTACTAAATAAAGAAGAAAGCTTATTTTCTGTACTTTAAACTAAGCTATTGAAAAATATTATAGGACTAATGGTAACCAAGATATGGTTCGTCAAAGTGTGATGCTTGCAACAATTTCTACTAACCTTTACGGATATTTTTTTAAACTGTAGTAATAACTTCTTTGTACATTTAGGTATATACAAATCGCACAAGCATCACACTTTGACGAACCATATCTTGGTTACTGTTATTGCTAGAATACTTTACAATATACTATTTTAAAGTACAGAAAATAAGCTTTTTTATTTTAGTAATGCATATACCTATATAAAACAGCCGCAAAAACTGTTAAAATTGCGTAGAAGAATATTAGGGAATAATGTTTGCTAAAAATAGGGAAAATGGCTACAAAAATCACACTCGGTGGTTTTTTCATATTCGTATATGTATAAGGGTTATAATAAAACAATACAATTTCTTTAACGTGGTAGTTCCTTCCTAAAGTACATAATCATTATTTATGACGAAATACTTTTAAATCTAGTGGGTTTAATGTAAAAATAATTTGAAATATAATAAAGTTTAGATTATTCGTTTTTTGGTAGTAAAAATTGTTATTTTTCGTCAATATGTGTGGGCAATTTAATAATTACACCTTAATAAATACACCTGCTTGCTGTTATTTTTAACAATAAGGTGGAAGGTGGGTATACGAACTAGGTAGATAATATTAATAAATATTTGTAAGATTACAGTTTTTACATGCTTTGCATATTGAGACCTCTTTACCTAGAAACTTACATGTAAATCTAGAAATTCAGAATCACTCTCCAAATCACAGCTTAAATTTTTCAGAAGTGGCACACATGCACCTCTCTGAGCATCGACATGAGAATTCTGAGGAGAAAAAAACATTTATATAAACATATAGTTAATACAGTTTAAATGGCTGTAGAACAATGTTAGTAACAAATACATTGGAATATTTATATTTTTTATACATTAATTATTTAATACACAAAATTGACAAATTATTAGCTTCAAGTACAAAAAGACATATCAAGAAAATGCGTTTTTTTATTTTAAATCATATAGATC